GCCCCGCCGCGCCCCGCCCCGCCCCGCCGCCGGGGGCGGCTCCGCGGGCCACGTGGTCCGGCGTCCCCGCGCAGGCGACTTCTAACGCCGGTGCTTCCGGGTTGGCAGCTGCTGTGGCTGCGGCGGCCGGATACCTGAAGCTGGGGCGGCGCAGGAACCCCGGGGGTAGGCCCGGTGCAGCTGGAGAGCAGGGAGCGCCCGGCGCGGATGCGCCCGCCAGGCCGCTGGGTAGGCGGGCCGCGATCCAGACCTCGTCGGCCGTCGCAAGAGGTAAGTTCTCTCCCGACCCGTCTTCCGTGCGTGCGGACCCGCGGCTGTGTCGACCCCCACCCCAGCCCGAGGAGCCCGGGCCGGGAGGTGCGGGCCTCCCCCGCGCCCTGCTCCCAGCTCAGCGGGCCCCGGGCATCGTCAACCTGTCACTGCGCGCTGTGCGCTCTCCAGTGCCAGCTTTGGGCGATCCACGCTGCTCTGCCACAGCTGAGGCCCCTGGCGTCTTACGTTATTATTACTTAATTGCATCTACCCCCAAATTCACACATGTAGATTTTCTTCGCCTTTTTCATATTTGTTTTCACACAACAAAATGGCTAATAATGTGTGAAATCGAGCCACTAATTTTTATTCTGATATTTGTGCAACTATGGAAAGTTAGTGCTGGGCAGGGCTTTAGAGATGGTCGATCCCAATTCCTTAATTTTATAGAGGAGAAAATCGACCCTGAGAGGTAACGTGAACGTTGGAAATTCACCCAGCTAGGTAATGGGACAACAGGAATGAGAACCCAAAGCTAAATTTTAAATAGACATTTTAAAGTTGTAAGCGATACATTTCAACTAATCACGTGAAGTGATTAGTAGGTTCACTTGGGCTGGGAATAATCTTGATAGATGATGCTTCTTCCTTTTCATACATTTTCTTATTTTAGGCTTAATCCTTCTTGGCTTCTGAAGAAAATGGCAGAAATATCATCAGAGCCTTCTGGGCAGCTTGTTGTACACTCAGACACTCACAGTGACACTGTCCTGGCAAGTTTCGAAGATCAGAGAAAGAAAGGCTTTCTCTGTGACATTACTTTAATCGTGGAGAATGTGCATTTCCGGGCCCACAAAGCCTTACTGGCTGCCAGTAGCGAATACTTCTCCATGATGTTTGCGGAAGAGGGGGAGATCGGCCAGTCCATTTATATGCTGGAAGGCATGGTGGCTGACACATTTGGTATCCTGCTGGAATTTATCTACACGGGTTGTCTGCAGGCCAGTGAGAAAAGTACGGAACAAATCCTGGCTACTGCTCAGTTTTTAAAAGTCTATGACTTAGTAAAGGCTTACACAGACTTTCAAAATAACCATAGCTCCCCAAAGCCAACGACTTTGAACACAGCCGGTGCACCAGTGGTTGTTATTTCTAATAAGAAAAATGATCCTCCAAAGCGGAAACGGGGAAGACCAAGAAAAGTCAACAGTTTGCAGGAGGGGAAATCAGAACTGGCTACAGAGGATGAAATACAGCTGAGAGTGAACAATTCCGTTCAGAACAGACAAAACTTTGTGATTAAAGAGGGAGACAATGGGGTACTGGATGAACAGATTTCAGCAAAAGAAATAGAAGAATCTGAGCCTGCTTGTGAGCCAGGTAGAGGGGAAGAAATGCCTGCTGAAAAAGATGAGAACTGTGATCCTAAGACTCAGGATGAGCAGGACCACCAGACTCGGTACAGCAAGCGGAGGATTCAAAGATCCATCAAACTTAAAGATTACAAACTTGTTGGGGATGAAGACGAACAGAGTTCCTCCAAGAGAGTCTGTGGAAGAAGAAAGCGCCCCATTGGCCCCGAGGCCCGTTGTAAAGACTGTGGCAAAGTCTTCAAGTACAATCACTTTTTAGCAATCCACCAGAGGAGCCACACGGGTAATTATGCTTTCACAGCTTATTGGAATGTGCTTTGCAGTAGTAATGATAATAATTTTAATTTATTGTGCAACTTCTAGGTGATGGGCATTGTAATAAAGCCTTTATAAATGTTATTGCATTTTATTTTCACAACAGTCCCTTGGGATAATATCCCTATTGCACAGACAAAGAGACCAAGTCCTAGAAAGCTTAAGTAACTTGCCTCCATCATCCATTTAGTGACAGAGCTGAACCCAGAGAGCCCAATTCCAGAACTCCTTATTTAGAGTTGTTGGTTCAAGGCTATACTGTCCAGATACCGATCTCTAACCAAATTTATTCTGCTTTCTGACTCTTGAACATTCCTCATCTTGACCATAGCTATGCTTTTGCTCAGGTCTGCCTAGACCTGAGCTTTCTTAATCAGCTGTCAGGCTGTAAATGCCTTCTTTTTAGTCCCTCTAGCCCAACTTTGGCCAAGAGACCTTTTATGATGATGGAAATATCACCATCAGTTACAGTGTTGTCCATTTTGGTGACCACTAGCCACATGTGGATTTTGAGCACTTGACATGTGGTGAGTGACTGAGGAACTGAATTTTTAATTTTAAGTAATTTAAATGACCACCATATTGGACAATGCAGTCCTCCTCTAGAATTTAAAGAGTTAAATAGTTCTACAAGATTTGTCAAAGAAAATAGCTCATGGGATCTTCTCTTTTGCCCCTGGTATTCTGAAATTTTGTATTGAATCACTTTAGTGTGGATCTGTTTTCTTCTAATAGGTGGATACCAGTAAATTCATAGTCTGGAAACCCTCATCTTTCAGTTCCAGAAAGTTTTCTCGTATTATTCATAGATGATTTCTCCTCTCTGTTTTCTCTGCTCCCTCTTTTTGGAACTCCAGCTATTTGGCTGTTGAACCTCCTGGACCTATCCTCTAACTTCCTTCTCTTTTCTCTCCTATTTTTCATCACTTTTTGCCCTGCTTTCTGGGAGATTTCCACTTACTCTTTCAGCTCTTACTGTTTTTCTATCTGTACTCTTATGTTTTTACTTGTAGATGCTTTTTTTCCTCTATTTTTTTTTTGTTTCACAATGTAATATCTTACCTGGTGACAATGTTAATAACATTTACCTGTTAGGTTTTAACATTTTCTTCACCTTGGGCAGTTTATTTTCTGCAAATTGCCTTTTCTTATTTGTTTTGGCAGCTACTAGATGCTTTCCTTGAATGGTGATTTTTTTTTTAGAAAAACAATGATATGTAAACGTGGTTTCCTAAAAGGTGCTGGCAACTGTGTGAGTGGAGAGGGCCTATACACATCGGCCTCCCTGCGCATGGTGGGGCTGGCCCCCACTTCCTTGCTGATGCTCTCTTACCTTGGACTCTTCAAGTTTCAGGCAAAGACTCTCTGCTCTCTCACATGGAGGCTGTGGGCTTGGCTGCCAGTGTCTAGAGTGGGAAGGAGAAGAAGGCTGGGAGGAGTCTCAGACATAAACTGTGACCCGCTCTCCCTGGGGTTGTCCCACTCCACTGTGCTGGGAGACCTCTGATCCACAGTCTCCGAATCCATAGACCCTTTGTTTTACCCTCCACAGAGAACCGTCTCCATCTTCTGTTGGGGAGAGGGCCGATCTCCTGGCTCCATGGAGCAGGATACTGGATCTGAGGCAGCTAAATGCCTTTGAAACAGACTGTCATTTATCCTCCTTACCCCTATTTTCAGAGATAACAGGTGCCACCAATTCCCGAGCCTTATGGAGGCTCTGTCTTAAAAATTAGGTTGTATCTTAGCAGTCCTCACTGCTGGCATCAGATTTATCTGTTCCAGCTTGCAAAATGTTATTGCTGATATTGTTTCTCCTGTTCACTGGCCTTTTGGATATGTGCCTTTTGAGACATCCCTTTATTATCATTTTAATTTAAGAGGGAACAGAAAGATGTGCAGATTTATGCTTATGCCAATTTTCTGGGGCTCTTATTCTAGGGGAACGACCTTTCAAATGCAACGAGTGTGGAAAAGGCTTTACCCAGAAGCACTCCCTGCAGGTCCACACCCGGATACACACGGGCGAGCGGCCATACACCTGCACCGTGTGTAGCAAGGCTCTCACCACCAAGCATTCACTGCTGGAGCACATGAGCCTGCACTCAGGTAGCCGGGCTTGCACCAGAGGGCCAGCTGACACCAGGTTCCATTCTCGGGGTGGGCATTACCATGACCTAAATGGTCTCTTCTCAGTCTGGTGTCATTTCCCATATGGTGTTCACTGAATGGTAGAACTGTGAATCTGTCAGAGTACAGTTTAGAGTTCTGCACAGCATTGGACCTTAAACTAGGGCTTATAAACTGGCCGCTGGAAGTTCAGTATGCAAACACGTTTTGTCTAACCACTAGAGCTTAGAATTATTTTACTTTCAATGCCTTTGGGGAAAACGTGTATTCTCCAGTTCTACTCCAGTCTCCAACACTCCCTATTGCCTTACGTACCTTTGCACATTCATGTTACTGTGGTAGACTTCCGATGGCATTTAGGTTTATAGATAGGTCCCTTGTATCATTTGTAGAAAATAGGGGACTGAGCCCACTGTGGTATTTACCTTATTAGTGAACATTCTCGTTCTTTATACTTTTTGCGTATTTTAGTGTTTTGATTTTTATTTGGCAGGACAGAAGTCTTTTACCTGTGATCAGTGTGGAAAATATTTCAGCCAGAAAAGACAACTAAAGAGCCATTACCGAGTTCATACAGGTACAATAATGTGAGAGAAAATTTGGATTGGTGGGGGAGAAATGGAAATACAAATGACTAAGAGGACGCCAGTAGATTGGTTGTTAGTGGTGCCTGGACAGAGATGTCTCCATCCCATAGCTGCCAGCCTAGGCTTTCCCAACCTGGCTCCACCCATTGGCCTTTTTTCTTTCCTGCCAACTGATAAGAAATGAACGGGGGTTTGGGAACATCACTTTTTTTTAATTGGCCATAGTCATACCAGTGCTTCAAGGGAAGAAGATTATATTTAGGGAGATCGGAAGGGTCCCAACTCTCTTTGCAAAGCAGTAAGTTGAGATGCATAGGAAAATATTAACTGTTACCAAATTAATTTAAAGGTTGTTGTTTTTATTAAAGTACCATATTGAAAGTGATTATTTTTCAGGGAAGTGCTTTAACACAAATCACTGAAGAAATGCAGGGAGAGCATATATGCACTGACACTTTTTTTATTGTTGCGACAAGGCCACTCATTACCGGAATGCAACCACTGCCATCGCAAATTCATGGATGTGTCTCAGCTAAAGAAACATCTACGAACACACACAGGTAAAATTCTGTCTCATCCTTTATTTCTAGTATACTTTATGTTTTCAGGAGAGTGAGAAATGATGCACTTGGAGTCCCCTCCTCAGACTGTGTCTATTGTAAATTGGGTGAGAATTTTATAAGTACATCATTTAAAAGCCCAAGACAATATTGTTAACATCTGTGAGGAAATCACATCTCTGTAGACTAGAACAATGGAGATTTCTTACTGAGCACTATTCACATAGGGGAATTTATCCGATACCATAAAACAGTACAAGTCTAAGTCTCATTCTTTGTTTCGCTCTTAATTTATTTCAGCATTGAAGATTATCAAGATAATTTTTTTATTTATTTATTTTTTAGTAAAACAGTACAAGTCTAAGTCTCATTCTTTGTTTCACTATTAATTTATTTTAACATTGAAGATTATCAAGATAATTTTTTATTTATTTATTTTTTAGTTATTTTTTTAGGCGAGGCAACCCTTGGTTGACCTCACAGATTTCAAGAACCTCGTCAGCTTACAATCCCTTATTTTTTTTTTTTTATTTATTTTTTTTTTACACCTACAGCACCTAGGTGGTCTCCCATCCAAGTACTAACCAGGCCCAACCCTGCTTAGCTTCCGAGATCAGACGGGATTGGACTTGTTCAGGATAGGATGGTCGTAGACCAAGATAATTTTTTTTAGAAAAGGAAGTAAAATAAAACAGATACCAAGATAACAGACACTGAGGATTTTTTCACTTTCTCTCCTGGAACCAGTATTTAAAACTTAAGCAATGCCACCTCCAGAAAAATGAGCTTCAGGAGTAAAGAGGAAGCAAGATTGATTAGAGCAGGTCATATTCTTTCATTTGAGATCAGAAAAGTAAAAATGTGGACCTTTTAGACCTTTGGGTAAGGTGTGCTTAAAAATAAACCTCTTAGGTTTTCTATGAAAAATACTCTAATGTAAGCTAATTATTTAATGATTCTGTTCAGTTATCTACTAAAATCATATATCAGATTGGTTTATGTTGCTTTGGACATTTTTCTAAAAATGCAAGTTTTTAAAGTAACTTGCTCTCTTAAAATAAATGTCTGATAGGGTATGAGTTTAATGAAAATGGATCTCTTTATAATCTTCCTACAGACATTATCATTAATAACTTCTGTGAAATTTAATTTATCCACTTAACACATATTTACGGAACAGTTACTGGGTATCAGGCACTGGTCCAGGTCCTGAGGTTACAGCAGTAAGTGAGGTGGACAGAGCTCCTGCTTTGAGGGGTTGACATTGGAACAGGGAAGACAACAACTGTGTAACATGTTAGATGAGGGTAAACGCATTGAAGAACTAAATGTAGGGTAAGTGGACAGGGTACAGGAATGGGAGCTGCCCTTTAATGTGGGGACTTGTCTGGGAAGGCCTCACTGACAAGGTGACGTCTTTAATGGAGATCTAAATGCTGTGGGGAGTGAGCCAGCCACTGTGGCTCTCCAGGAGAAGCACCTCCTAGGCAAAGGGAACAGCGGGTACAAAACTCTTAGACAGGAGAGTTTCTGACATGGCTGGAGAAATGTCAAGAGGCAGAAGTGGCCGACGCAGGGCCAGGGCAGTAGGGGAAGGAAAGAATGGAGTAGGTGGACATTAGAGGTGATTGTAGTTCGTGTAAGGCAGGGGTTCTTAGCCTAACTGTGCTTCAGTTACATGAAAAGCTCTATAAAAGAAAAGGCTCAGTTCTAACTCCAGAGATCCTGATCGAATTGACCTGAAGTAGGGCCTTGGAATTGGCATTTTAAAAAGTTTCCCGAGTGATTCTAGTGTGGCCTCAGGCTTAAGAACTTTGGAGGCCACAGGAAAGACTTGAATTTTATTCTGAGTGAGATGACTTTAACAAGGGTGATGTGACATGACTTAGAATTTTAATAGGATTGCTCCAGCTGCCATGTGGATGGGGTGAAGCATGGGTGCAGGCACCCATTAAGTGGGTGGAGAGACACATAGGAAGCTGTTGTGGCAGTCAGGGGCTTGGCACAGTGTGGCAGCAGTGGGAGTGGTGACAAGTGGTCCAGTTCTGGATATATTCTGAAGGAACTGTCAATGCGATTTGCTCATGATTGGATGTGGGGTGAGAGAAGAGGGACGCAAAAGAAACTGGAAGGATGAAAAACTGAGGAAGACTGCAGGAGGAACAAATCAAGTTAAGATTTTGGACCTGTGGAGTCTGAGGTGTTTATTTGACATCCAAGTATGATGTGGAGGAGGCAGCTGGATATTTGAGTCTGGAGGTTTGGGAGACATGCAAGCAGAGGTATAAATTTACATGCTTACACATCTGCCTGTAAATAGCATGTGGAGCTGTAATGAGAATACCTAGTGAGTGGGTGGAGGTAGAGGAGAGCTGAGGCACCTTGATTATGCTGAGGAGGGCCAGAGGTGAGTCATTTCATTTTGGTTTTGTCTTCCGAGTGTGAGGTGTTAGTGAGATCTCTGGTCTTTATGAGACATAGGCCTTAAAATAGGGGTGAAAAGGAACAGATGTTCTTTATAATCCCAGCAAATCCTTCTCCACTCTCTACTTTGCAGAGAAGCAGAAGAGGGAAGTGGCTTGTATGACTTAGAAATAAGAAATCAAACCCATAAAAAAAGTTGGGCTCTTTGAGGGCAGGGATTATGACCCCCCCGTCTCTAGCACAGACATTGTGCACAATATCGTTGTTGAAGAGTTGATACGCCCCTTCTCTGCTATCCGGGTGGAGTGGAAGGTGTAAGGAGAGGCTGGCGGCAGAGCTGGCACTCACCTCTGCAGGTAGCGGTGCAAACAGACCTTAGCTGGCAGGTCATGCCGAGCGGGCCAGGGCAGGAAGCACTGATTGCAACAGCAGGGCCACACTCAGTCAGAAAACCAAGACTGTTATCTCTTAGCTCTTTAAGTGCAAAGCTCTTTCTGGGTTAGATGTCCTGTGCCAAACTCAAGAGTCAGAGATAAATAAAAAATGCTCTTTTCCCTAAGAGGGTATCTTTAGTGAGAGAGATGGTTGTGTTTTGAAATGGAGGCAAGGCATCAGGCAGACAGGCAGTACTGGTGAGGTTGCTGCAGCTTGGGCTCTCGTGCTCAGATCTTGTCCCTGTACCTGGTCAAGTTTACAGGAACTGAGCCAAGCCAGACCAATCACATGACCAATAAGCCAGCAAATGTATTTACTTAACAAAGGGACTACACCTTTCTGTTGCCCACAGTACCACCTTCCTGACATCACTGTACCTGAAAACCAAGTTAGTGATCAGAAGATTGCTTGGTGAGCTGGGGGCAAGTTCAGGGAATTGACCCAGGCCATGAAGAAGCCTGGTGAGTGACCTCGGACCCCACAATACAGTCCCATCCCTCCAGTGTTCCTGTCCCTTGCATGATACTAGATAAACACTTTTTCTAGCTATGGGCTCCCACTCACATGTAGATGTCCTGCCTAATAACACATAATCTAGTTAAGTCACAGCTTTCATTCACAGCCTCATTTTGTAGGATTGGGTTTGAAGCTCCTAAATCTCCATGTGTTTCCAAACCATCCAGTAATGCTTGTCCCCATGTCGGTGAGATCGGGAGCCCCTCGCTGTAACATACCCTTACAGAGTCTACGTGCGATCTAGTGAATCTCTGATAAGAGCCTTAGTAGAGGTGTGAACGTGGTGCCAGAAATGATTTCCTTTCTCTGGGAAGATGTGGGAAAGCATTTCAGAGGAAAGATCTGGATTTTGAAGCCAGAGTAAGTGTGGATGGACAAAGGAAGTGGGAAGAGGCGTTCCCAGACAGAAACAGGGTGTGCGGAGACTGAGGAAGTGAGAGGCCAGCATCTGAGGGCCACAGGGAGCAATTCCATGGTGAACAGCAAGAGTGGGATTACCTACAAGGAGGAAGGCGAGTGCGGGGGGATCTTTGGGCAGAGAGGAGGCATATTTTGATTCGCATATTTAAAAGAACTCAGGCAGCCCCAAGAGGATGGGCAGAGTGGGAGGGTCCTGGGGGTTAGCAGGCTCTTTGGGAAAGAAAGATGAAGGCCTTTGGGTTAAGAAAGTGGAAGAAAGAGATGTATTTAAGAGATTTTTAATCTGGGAAAAACAGTCACTGTAAGCATGACAAAATGTTAATATCCAAAAGTTCAAAAATATGAGTACCCCAGTAAAAAACTGGGCAGAAGACATGAAAAGCACATCATAGAAGACACAGGAATGGCCAGTAGACATATAAAACGATGTTAACTGCATTGATCATCAAAAAATAAGAAATGTGCACTTCTTTTTGCCTACTAGGTTGGTAAATATGTGAAGAAATGGGCAACTTTATGTTCTGTTGGTGGGAATATAACTTGGGAACTTTCTGGAAAGAACTTTGGCAATATGTATCAAAATGTAAACTGCCCAGTTGTCAAAAGATGTTTGCATAAGGATATTCATCATGAGTAGAATTGTTTATAATGTCACAAGCCTAAAAACTACTTCAGTGTCCATCAGTAAGGGATTAGGTAAATTTGAACAGGATACACAGTTAAACACAACAAAGCCTTTTAAAATAGTGGTGTGGCTTTATTTGACATTACAGACCATGTGCACTGAACAATCTGTGGGGCAGGAGGAAACTTTCCTCTACGTTTCTAGGTACTTTCAGCTGGTCTAATAATCTAATAGACATGAGACAAATTAACAAGAGAAAATAACCCAGTTTAATAACGTATGTACTTATTGGAACCCTGCACACATGAGGGAGTCACAGACCCCACAGTACATGACAGGTTCAGAGACAGAGAAATGAGGTATATATGACATTCTGATCAAAGGAATGAGGTAAGTTGCCTTGGGGCTTCAGAAGGGAGGACAGTCTTTCACAGGATGATAATAAGAGCAGATGATCAGTAATTAGAAGTTTGCCGTGCCCTATAGATAGGCCATAAGAAGTTATTTCTGGTGATAACTCCTATTATGGACAAGGCCCCTAATTTAAATTCTTTAAGGGAAGAGACCAAAGTTTCTCATG